TCTGCAGGCGGGGGGTTCCCTGGGGGTTGCCGTTGTTGCTTCAGGGTGGTCCAACCTCCCCTGCTGGGCAGAACCATTTCCCACAGGGCCTGGAGCCCGGACCCCCGCCAGTGAGGTGCGTCCTGGGTGAAGTCACCTGTACGCCCCCTCCCCGAATCTGGGGGGACTACAGGGATGCCGGGGGCGGCCAGCAGCCTGCCAGGCTCGGGCGGCAGGCAGGGTTTGGAGAGGGTGAAGGCCGTGGAGGCTTCTGCGGACACACTTTGACAGTCAGTCTGAAGCCTCCAAGCAGGAAGCCCAGAAGCCAACACTATCTGACCTTGACTTTTCTTTTATTTGTGGTTGTGATATGATGTTTCCTGTACACGGATTTAAAGAAAACGTCCAGGAAATAACCACACAGCTGGTGACCTCCGGAAAGTGGCCCTTCAGACAGGGAAGTGTGTCCTAGCCGGGCCTGCGGGAGCTGGATGGAGGCCTCTCCCCTCCTTGCCCGCCCCATGCTCAGGGCCAGCCCCAGCTGGACCTCCCAACTTCGAGTGCCCGCTTGCTCACCCAACAGGAGACCCGGGGAACCACGTTTCCGTTGCACAGAAATGGTTTCTCCTTCCTTGTGGTCTCTGCCTCACCTTGCTGGCCCCTCGCAGGAAGCTGAGCCCTGGGGTTCAGTCTGTGTCCACAGTCCACAGCTGGGGAAGGGGGCGGGCCTCTGGGTCCAGCCAGGGTCGGAAGCGGGTGGGGCTGGGGGAAGATGCTCAGGTCTTCAGGGAGGGGACGTCAGGCAGAGGGAGTGACCTGGGGGTTCTAGGAAAGGGAAGGGGTCAGGGTGGAGGGGTGGGAGGTGGAGTTGGCAAGGTCAGCGGGTCCAGCAGGCCACGCGCTGGGTGGGACTCTGAGTTGCAATGGTCAGAAAGCTGGTGTTCCAGTGTCTGCACAGAGGGGCTTGCCTGGCCCCCATGCCTTTGAAGTCCAGGGGTGGGCTTGCTTCAGGCAATGTTGGATCCAGACACTTGGTGCAAATACTCTGGCAGGTTTCTTTTTTTCCTTTTTATAAAAATGTTTATATTTATTGATTTATTTGGCTGCGTTGGGTCTTAGTTGCGGCATGCGGGATCTTTCGTTGCAGCGCGTCGGCTTCTCTCTAGTTGTGGCTCGCAGGCTTAGTAGTTGCGGTGTGCAGGCTTAGTTACCCCGTGGCATGTGGGATCTTAGTTTCCCGACCAGGGCTCGAACCCATGTCCCCTGCATTGGAAGGCAGATTCTTAACCCCTTCACCACCAGGGAAGCCCCTCTGGCAGGTTTCTTGCCTCCCTCAGGGGATGGCTTCATTCTCAGACCAGCTCTTCCCCTGAGATACCTTTCGATCAGCAGCTGGACGTCTACTACTGCCAGTAGAGCAACCACACTTTCCCGTAAGCTTCGGCAAAGGCCTTGAGGCCAAGGGGACGGTCTGACTGGCCAGGCCTGGGTGCTCCAGCAGCCCCTGGGCGAGGTGGGTGAGCCCACCCAAAGCCCCACAGCCTGAGAGCATAGAGGCCCCCAAAGGGAAATGGAGGCGCTAGCACTGGGAGTCAGGACAAGCGTGGGGCAGGAAGGTGCCACCCGCCCGCGACGTGGTGTGGGGTGTGGGGGCATTGGGTTTGCCTTCAGCTCACGTGTTGGTCCCTCTCTGTCTGCTGCCCCTCCCCTGTCTTCACTCCAGCCTGGCTGTGCCCAGCACTGGCTTCCGTGTCTTTACAGCCGGGGCTCCATCCTCTGGTTTCCAGTGCAATTGCCTAGGAAGCTGGCTCCAGCCAGAAGGAGGGTCTCTGTGCAGTGAGGGAGCTACCCTGGTGGGTGGGCAGCAGCTTAAAGGTGGGCCATCTGGTCTTTGCGGTCTTGCCCACGTGCCCTTTCTGGTGGGAGGGAGGCCACTCGCGCCACGCTCGGCTCCCTGGGGAAGGTGGGCACTGACTTTGACTGCCCCCTCACCTTCCCTAACGGGGCAGGAACGACAGCAGCCCCAGATGCTCCTGAAAACCCCATTAGCTCCTACTTCTGGGCAGGGAGCTGTCGGGGGCTCTGGCTGGGGGATCTCAGGGCTGGTAGGTCCAGGATCTGAGATGGGCTGTCTCTATGGGGCCAGGGGAAGGGGCCCAGGATCCATCCACCTTCCTCAGAGGCAGTGGCTGGTGGCAGAGGGGGCTCCAGCCCCTCCACAGAGCTAAGCCCTGGTACTAGGCCTTTGGAGGACAACAGACGGCGACCCCGCTGGCCACTGGCAGGGGCAGCTGCAGAGGTGGGTATGGGGCCTGATGTGGGGTGAAGGGTAGGGGTCCCCCGTGATCTCTGGGGACAGTTTTCTTCACCAGCTCAGAACCCTCAGCTGGGAAGCAGAGCTTTCTCACATCTGCCCTCCCCAATCCTGCGGCAGCTCAACAGATCCTGCACAGGGACATGTAGGGCCCAGCCCTCCCCCTCCCCTCACCTGCTCTTTGCCCAAAGATGCCCTGCACAGAGAAAATGCCCAGGTGGGGGAGCAGCAAAGCTGGCAACCCCATGCCTGGCCCTTCCACCTAGCCAGGAGCTGCCAGACCAGGAAGAGCTCAGCCTGGTGATCCCCCAGCCCCAGAACAGGCTAAGGGCATGGGTATCAGGCTCTGCAGGGAGGCCTCAGGCTGGATCTAACTGGATTCTCTCCCCTACCCCCCACCAGTTGCAAAAGCTCTGAACAGTCCCGTTTCTGCCCAGCTCCTCTCTGGAGTGGGCAGGTGGAATGGTCACCTGGCTGCTCTCTGGCCCAGAAGACCTGGCAGTGGAGACCTGGGCCACCGTAGAGCATGGCCCCCTCTGACCATTGTCCTGTTCCTACCCCTTGGGCAGAGTGGCCACAGCGACCTCAGCTTCCCCGGGAAACCGGTGTGAGCAAGCTGGTCGAGGCCCCAGGGGGCTCAGGGTGAGGACGCGGGGTCCCTGGATCACTGTCACTTTCTGCCCCCTGAGTCCCCCACAAAGCTGGGCAGGAGTCTGAGCCCAGGGCCCTCCCTGCCTGAGGAGGGGGTAGAAGCCAGGGGCAGGGCCAGGGGTGCCTCTCTCCAAACCTTCGCCCCCAGGCCTCCCCCACTAGGTGCAGCGGCCTGGGGAGACCCTGCTTGGGGTCTCAGGGAGCTGGAGAGGCCTGGTGTTGGGGGCAGGGCTTTCTGGCTGGTGTGCTGGGTCTGGGTAGGGGGCTGCTGACCCTTGGCTTCAGGCTCTGGTAGAGGGCTTGCGATCTGGTGCTGACCTGGAATTTGGGGGGATGACCAGGAAATAGTGAGGCGGGGGTGGAGGTGGGGTGTGCCTTGGATGGGTGTATGGGGCCCAAGGACTCAGTGAGTGTTTCAGCCCACCTAGTCCCTCCTCTCTCTCCCCCAGATGAGAATAGCGCCTGGAAGTGGCTGCCGGGAGACTACAGTCCACAGGACAGTTGCCCGGGACCCCTCCTCGCCTCCCCGCCCAGGGCTCAGAGGTGCGGTCCCTGCACATGGTGGTTACTTCATGTCCAGTCGCGCCAGGCAGGCCTGGCTGGGTGTCCCCTGGCCCTGGAGAGGTGTCTTGAGCACGGGACGGTTAGGCTGGAGGGGATGGAAGGCCTACGGTCTCAGACCTCCTGGACACTGGAGTGGGGGAAGGTATGTGTCCCTCCTTCCCCGGGTAGTGATGCCCACCCGCTGCACCAGGTGGGCTTGTGGCGGGGCTGTTCCCTTTGTCCAGCCTTGGCCCTCTTCCCGGGCGATCCGGAGGGCTGCTCCAGGGCCATATCTGCGGGGAGGCGGGGGAAGGATTAATTAGAGCCGAGAGTGGTCCACCCTGTAGCTGCCTCTTTGGTGCGGAGTGAATAGTTTTCAGCAGAGGAAGCCTCATCTCTCTGGCGCCCCTCCCAGGTCGGCGCTGTCCACCTCTAAAGGAGCAGAAGCCCTGAGGGCGGAGGAGTTTCCGTCCTCACCCCCTCCAGGTCACGGCAGATGGGACCCTTTCTTTGCCGGTCCCCACCGCGGGTGTGGGATGGGGCGGCGTGGAGCCGCGCACGCTCGCTCCAGGCCGCTGCTCCCCACCATCTGGAGGCACGGCATCCTTGCCAGGTGTGGCCAAGGAGAGTCGCGGAGCTGCCCCCGGGTGCCACAACTCGAGACCCCAGCCCGCCGCGGACCACTGGAAAGCCCGGAAAAAGCCTGGCAGGGGCGGGGAAAGGGCAGGGCTCCGAAGGGCGCTCACACGGCGAGAGGCCGAAGGGCACAGCAGCCCCGGCGGCGCCGGGCCCCTCCCGACCCGCGCGGCCGCCCCCCTCCTTCGAGATCCGCCCTCCGGGGGGGCCGCGGCCCGGCGAGGGTTAAGGGGGGCGGGGCGGGG